AAAGGAAAGCATAAGCAAAAAACTCACACTGAGCTCGTTTGTTCATTTGATGACTAAAAAAAGCATCATGAAACTGGACTAAATTAACCGTTTTAAATGTGTTTGCATGACTAGAATCCAATAAGAAGCATCTCTAAAAGCATGGTGTCATATCTCAGAGTCATTTTTGCCCCATTTTAGACTACAGTTGTAGACATCAGTGTATAAAATACTTACTGGATCAGTGGTTACTGTGTTTGTGAACACTTCATGAATTAATAAATAAGGTCCTGAAGGTTCAGACATAGCACTTTAAACTATCCCTATCCTTTTCCTCTCTGTTATCATCTCGCCTGCACTCCACTCCTGTCTTCACTGCAGGAAGCCCATTACAGTAGCACCAAGCTAAAGTGCCTGTTTTGCCATCCTGGCTGCACCACACGAAGCCAAGTTTCCCCCAATAAAATCCTCATTTCCTATGTATCACTAAACTAAGTTTTAAATTCCCCAATAAAATTCAGCCTTCCGTTTTCTTACCTTGCCAGCTGTCGTTGCAGACACACAGCTTCTCCCCGGTCAGGTCACAGTAGCCGTGATCTGGGCTGCCACAGTTGTCTCTGCAGTAAGGGATGTCGCACGCGTCCCCCTTCCAGTACTCCTCGCACTCGCAGTACACACGTCCTGCGACCGAGTTCGCAGTGCTGCATCTGCCGTGGCCCGAACAGTTGTTGGGACAAGAGTTTATCCTGCGGGAGACACAATTAGCCAGAAAGTCAAAAAAACATCTTCAAGGTTATGGAGAGCCATGAGCAAAAGAGAATACTTGACTGTGACGGGCCAGATATTATTTTTAGATGAGTCCGTGGCCTTGAGATCTTGTGCGTGCCTCGTGAAATATTAACTGAGGCGATTGCAGTCATCTACTTATATACTTATAGTAAACTTTACTGATAAACAAAGTTGCTATTTTTTACATTTACATGTTAGATGTGTGTATTATTTGCTTTAGAGTGGATTCATGTTCAATATCTGCTGGAACGCCTGTTCAGCAGATACGCCCAACACCATCAAAACCGTCACTAACTTCCGTGAATATTTCACCAGCATTGCTATCTAAAAGTCTTCCAATTTCCTCGTTATCAACCCCGGTAAAAATTGAAGTTCTCATCTCATTAAAGAGGCAAGACAATCAAATCTTCTTAATTCTTTTATCAGGAGTCCTGCTGTCATTTTTGATCAGTTCTTTGAATTTCTCATTTTAAGCTAATCCAGTTTTGCTTCCCTGGGTAAAAATGCATCCCTAGGATATATTATTCTCTTACTCTCTCAAGGCTTTTGTACACAAACATCTTGTATCATTTTTAAATAACCACACAGTACATCAACTATTTCTTACTATTAAATAAAATGTAGCAAAGAATGTTCACTCAGTCTTGCTGCGTGAAACTGAAACATCATATGAACATCAGATTTGTTGGGAAGACAACAAAAGATAAATAATCCAAATACATACAAAAAAAAAAACCCAAACAACTTGGCATTGAAATACAGGAAATTTACACAAGGAACTCAGGAGAAACAACACACAATCCAAAAAAGACAAAAAGGGCTGATTGGGGAAGTGGAGACAGGTGGGAAATGGGAAAGGGGCACAGCTGAACATAATCAAGACAATCAGACTGGAAATAAAACCCAAGACACAAGAGGGACTGGGGGGGGATACACAAAAGGTGAGACAGGAATAGGAGCTACTGAGTGAATTACAGCAAAGTCAGAATAGAAAGTGACACTAAAGACGTCTTAAAATGATAAGACTTGAAGAGTAAACGAAGCATGCAAAAAAATGATAATGAAACGAGGAATCAGAACTCAACCTAACAATAACAGTGACAACAAAAGCAATACTATGTATTGAAAAAGAAGAACCTTAAAAATACAAAGCAAAGCCAGAGACCATGAAGGCATCACTGTGTAGATCTGGACTTTGAGTCTGCTTACATTAAAGTTTGAATCCACTTACTGTAAGTGGCTTTGGATAAAAGCCACCAAATCTAACTGAATGTTATGCAAAAATAAACAATGTGACACACAATAGAGATGGAGCTAAACCACCTCTGATTTTAAACAAGATAAATTATAGACACAGCGAGGAAAACGCAAAGAAAAAGACAGACCTGACTGAAAATGGGAAACGGAGGCGGAACAAAGAAATTCCACATAAAAATCAAAACTGAACACAAAAGCACTGAGACCGACGTTACAAGGCGTTTCTATGGAATATCAGATAAGTTCGAGATGAAAGAGATAGAAAAATTGGGGGGAAAGATGTGAAGGACCAGAGGCGGAGAATCATATTTTTGTTAATGCAAAAAGCTGGTTTGCTACCGTAACAAGGGTGTTGTCATGACAACCTTCATCTCCTCTCCGTGGGCATGTGTGTGCGTCTGTATGTGCATGTGTGTGCTAAGAAGAACCTGTGTAAATGTAACTATTCCTCCCAAGCAGGTGTCCAGCTTGGGAGGAGTTACATAGCATTCAGTTTTCAGTAATGACCATCACTAGCTGCACAAAGTGGGTTGGTTTAACGTTAGGGGTGATAGAAATCTACATGAACAGTGTGAATGATCCTGTACGACTGAGCTTTTAATAGAGCCAGGAAACAAAAACCAGCAATGTTACAGCAGCTCCCAAACACCGTTCCCAGTTGGCATGGCGAGGCAGACTGGCTGGCCTTCAGTCCGAGTAAATAGTAAATGTATATAGCACTCTTTCTACTCTACTGGAGCACTCAAAGCACTTTATACAAGATGCTCCCATGCAGCCATTCACACAAGCACTTTTTTCCACATCTAAGTGCTTTCTATCTAACATTCACACCCCAATGAATGCATCAGGAGCATCTTGGGGTTCAGAATCTTGGATATCCAAGGATCCCTCCCTGACCACCAACCTTCCAATTAGCAGATGACCTGCTCTACCTCCATAAGCCATAACCATCCCACACTTGAGATTTTGTGTGAACCACAAAAGTAATGAATAATATTTAAGTTTATTATATTATTACATATCAAAGGCCCTGCCTGACAGTAAATGGTAAATGGCCTGTATTTATATAGCACTTTACTAGTCCCTAAGGACCCCAAAGCGCTTTACATATCCAGTCACCCACCCATTCACACACACATTCACACACTGGTGATGGCAGCTACATTGTAGCCACAGCCACCCTGGGGCGCACTGACAGAGGCGAGGCTGCCGGACACTGGCGCCACCGGGCCCTCTGACCACCACCAGTAGGCAACAGGTGAAGTGTCTTGCCCAAGGACACAACGACCGAGACTGTCCAAGCTGGGGCTCGAACTGGCAACCTTCCGATTACAAGGCGAACTCCCAACTCTTGAGCCACGATCGCCCTATCGACAGTGATGAGCATAACATTTGTGAGAAGATAGAAAAATGGTGTGCACAAAACCAGCTAAAGGAAAAAAAAGAAAAGAAACAACTGCAAAAGCAACTTCCTTTACGGCTTCATCAGACTGGGAACTTCAACGGCTTTCAGCCCAAGAGGTAATGCAAATATAGTGCCAAAGATAAAGAGGTGTCAGGAAGCATACATAGAAAAAAAAAAAGACATGGGATTTGCACCATAGGCATGTTTCTGATAAGAGGATGGATGTAAGTTATCATTGTTGTCAATTCAGATGACACAGCTGTGATTATAGATTATAATTTTGCCTTGCTTGACTATTACCGTTACATGTTGAGCCGCTCACCAGGTGGTGCCACATACTGGTGTCTTCACAATCTGTGCTGGCTGAAAGTATTTCAGCTTTGTTTCTTTCTTCTTTTTTTCCCAATCACGTGAGTTTCTCCCAGTGACCTTGGATTCTTTTGTCCCCAACGGCAACAGACAGCCAGAAATGGAGAGCGGCTTACTGTTGCCATTTGTGGCCAGCTGGAGCTCATAATTCAACTGTGGTTTTACAGAGAGCAACATTGGAGAGCATTATAAGGCTTCCTGGTAAGTTTTTTTTAAATGTCATGTGTCCTGCTTATGCAATGTCTCTGAACACACTATTAGTGTAGCTAATTGTGCATGTGGTTCACCAAATCCAAGAAGCTAGGTGGTGTGAAAAATCTGGATTTTTTTCTTTTCCCCCCCTTCTTCTTGTGTTGTTTTCCTGGGAGAGTATCCACCCACAGCTGCCAGTTATATGTCTTTCCAAGTTTTCTCCCAACATAACCAGGTTCACATGAGTGGGCGTCATCCCAATCAGTGATCACGGTTGTTAAATCAGCCACCAACACACAAAAAATTGTGTTAGTCTCTCTCTGTCGCCCCAGGGAACAAATGCCACTACAAGCTGAAGTCAAAGTCTGGCAGCAGATGATAATGAGAAGCTGCAAAAACTCTTAAAGCCTTTGCTTAATTTTGGAATATACAGATTAAATTTTTTACCTTGTTAAGTTCTCATTAACGCAAAAATGTCCCCGTCGTGGGATCAATAAAGTCTTATCTTATCTTATCAAAATATTAATAATATGAGCCTGTTGCACACTTTCTGTCTGTATTGAACTTTTCGTGTCACTTTGACTTGTCTTAATGGGAAAAGACTAATTTCATTGTCCTATAAGTGACAAATGAAATCACACAGACAATAGAAGCACACAATATAACACAGCCATAGCATTTGGTAAAAATAATCACTTAGTAAGCTGTGGATGTAACTGCTTGATATTGCAAATCAATTAGCTGATGATGCATTTGATCTGCTGCCACAAATAAGCACACATTAACAAGCTGATGCTATCAGGATTTGGTATTTGGCTGACATTTCAGTACAAATTTCAATACAAATACAAATGTGTTCTCTTTTGTTTATATCAGAGAGAACAGACTGATCACGAACGGGAACAATTACATTTCTTTGGCCATTTTTGTCCTCCACGACAAGCTGGTAATCTGTCAAATAGTGGACACATTGATGGGGTGGGGGTGAGTGACGGTGAGAACAATATCAAGACTTACGAGTAGGCGATGCTGAAACCAGTCAAGTTGTAGGCAGCGTCACTAAAGAAGTAAAGCAGAGCATAGCCGGATGTTGTCACAACCTCAGGAACTGTCTCATTACCTCTGGTCTCTGGCACCACTAGACCGCTGAGAAAAGAATTCAACAGAAAGGCAATGAGACCTGCAAAGACAGACGTCCCCCGTGGACCCAAAATAATAACAAAAGGTTTTCTGAAATCTATTTGGTCTATGATGTGCTCTAGTCTGAAAGCACTGCCACCCCACAGAAAATACATGACAGTAATTAGCCTTGAAGTAAAAAACATTGCAGTGCAGTGGCAAATTAAATTTAGTTTGATTATGATTTTTTGTGGGGACCGGGTTGTCACTTTTAATCCGCGCAATGCGCTGCAAATGTACCCATGTCCACACTGAGCCCAAGCTCCCTGCAGGAACTAGTGTTTGTTTTTTACAATGCAAAGTGGAGGTACCCATCCATAATGAACAATTTAAGCTTACTTACTGTAGGTAAGAATGCGACACAAGTCGAGACTATGCATAATCAAATGGCAGATATTTTTATATATTTTTCTTGAAATAGTCCAAATTGCCCCTTTATGAAAACAATTGAACTCTTAACGAGAGATAAGCCTCAGTGGATTAGAATAAGTGGGAGGTTGGTAAAATATTGCGGCATTACTGTTTTAATGAATTTGCATGAAATGAAAGAGTTCCACCCACATGCTTGTAGATTGTTCTTTAGAAGGGAAAAAAGAGCAAAGTACAGAATAAATCTCGAGAAAAAGAAGTGGCATTCAGGGGTAATGTGAGTAATTGCAGTATTTTCTTTCTATTATTGCTGTATTGTGGTAAGCCAGCAATTATGGGGTCCATTGTTTGGCCATACATGGAGTCATTTGACTGCACAAGCACAAATTTATTGGCACTTTTGAAGCAGTGCCAAAGGGTACCTAAGTCATTTACATATTCCCTCCATGGCACAGCTCTCCTATTCAGACTAGCAGGTGCTCACCTGAAGACGGCAATCAAAGGGGCGTAAATGGAGTCTCCATCATAGACGTACATGTGGTCCCAGCTGCACTCTGTGGCAAAGTGATTGAAGCGAAGCCTGAGTACAGCGTTGGGGCTGGGAGACAGGGAGAGAGGGAATGCAGAATAAACAGGTGTGACAAAAGTACTCTTGATAAATATATATACTACCTATAAGCTTCATATGATTCTTACTTTATGGAAGTGTCTCCACTATTCATAAAATCTGTGGTTAAGATCATAAATCGACAGTTCAGGGACTCACAGCCACTGCAGAAAACCTTTTTGCTATATTAAAATCCTTGTGAGATGTGTCCTTGCCTAATGCCAGCACTGTAGAAGATGCATTTCATGCAGTGTTCACATGCAGACTATCAGTATCAAGTATCCTAGTTTTGTAAAGGTCCAATCCTGAAATAAACTTTTATTTCAGCTTTAGATAAACCTGCATATGATAATCAACCAATTTTACACATGAAGGCAAACACCAGGGAACTAATCATTGTCTCCCTTATGTGGACATGCATACCTAATTGGTAAAAAATAGACATTAATAGGCCTAGACATTAAAATGAAGGTAAATCTCCAGGAAAATCTGCACTGTACAATCATTGCAAATTTAAATACACCAGGGTGTGATGGAGCAGATTGTTTCCTTTCTTAGCTCATACCTGATTTATTTATTCCTCTTTAACAAATGAATATGCTCTGGAGATTTTATAGCAATCTGTCATTAAAAATATTTTTTTAAAAAAATGAATCTATCACTTAAAATCATCTTTCAGATTAGCTCATTAGCATGTTTTAAAGCATGTGTAAAAATGATTGGCAGTAACCCTTTAGCATCATTTTTCATTGTGCAGCTTGTTCTAATGAATGCCTCAATGTCTGAAATGGGCACAACAACACGGTGGGCAAAAGTTGTCACAGTAATGTGACGTGTTGTAAATGGAGACATATCAGTGAAGTTTATGTTAAAGTATAACAAGAAAGGAGAAGCTATGGTGCTTCGGTCCTATCAGAGAGTGTGCAGAACTTTGTAGACTGTCCTCGACATGTAGATGTTAGCTGGGAGCTGATTCAAAGAATATATGTGGAATAACTGGTCTGTGGGCCAGACCGAATTTATAAAATACAAAGAGCTGACAACCAGCAGAGTTAAAATTTGACACTTCCTTTTCTATTCAGTAAGCAAAAACCTACACAAACTGACACAAACGCACTACTGTGAATCCCATTAAGTGTCGAGTTGGGAGTTGAAATGTGTTGGCAAGGTGACCTTCTTGTTGTGCAACAAAAATCCCTGAAAATCACATTTTCAGTCACCCATCCGGTAGTTAAAGCCTTCTGAGGGGAATGTGTGATACGATATACAAATAAAATGAGCTTGAACTGACTTTTGAGTAACTTTCTCTCATTTTTCTTAGAGAAAATCAGCTAGTACAGTAAAATAAATAATAGCGGATATAATCGTAGTAATATATTACGGAGCCTGAGCTGCCCTTCAGCATTTCCCAAGGAGATCATGGACATCTTCATTGCTTTGCCCAGAGCTCATCTAACATTCCAGAGCATACAGAGACCATTAAATGTATGACTTTACACACCGTGTTAGAAAATAATGATTTTAGTTGCCATTCTGTGACTTTTACACGGTGGTCTAACACTGTATACAACATGTAGTGCAAACAAGCATTGTATTTCCACAGCAAGAGAATAAAATTGCGAGTGAAGCACTTTCAGTCAGTGCAGCATGAGCAGTAAATATGCAAAAAGCAACTACGGAGCACAGTAACTACTATATTCATAGACAAACCTTCTTTTTACAGAATAATACAGTCTCTCTTATCTAGAGCCCTTAAGTTAGATACAGAATAAAGTCTTTATCCAAGTGGAAGTAAGTAAGATTAATGATGACATGAGGAAGATAAAAACAGTGGTACTTACAATCCTTCTATTAACCAAGTGCACTTGGTCTTGTACTTATAGTTGAATGGACCATCTGTGAGAGAGCCTGACAGGTCTGTTAACCTGCAGAAAGAGACACAGAGGGGAGAAAACATGAACACAGCGACACAGTTTAATATGCTCAAAATCAGAAACAACTGGAGTCTGTGGCCTGGTTCGTCCCTCCGCACCAACAAACAACCCAAAACAGACAGAAATTAGAGTTGAAATCTTATCTTGTGACCCCTACAAGACAAAGATACTCATTTTTACATCAGTGAGGGTCCCCATCAGTGCAATCATGTGACATCGAGGAGTTGTATTTGGGCTTAATGTTTGATTTACTACCACCAGATCAAGCGTGGCAGGGCATGAGCTTTTTTCCCCTCCTTATTTCAGGTTATTCCTTGGTAAGAAAATACAAATAAACGTTTGTTTTAAACAAACACACTAATCATCTAAAAAGAAGAAGAAGAAACCATTCTTCTTAGCAAAGAATTTAATATTATATCATTTTAATTGAAAATAATAGCTTAAATTATTTAAAATCAACATCCATTTGATGACTGCACAGTAAAACTTTGGCAATATGAAATAGTGAGCACTTTATAACAACTGGTGCTCAGCCTAACTGTTCTAAAATGGCCCATTTAATTATTTCCCCCAGATTAAGAACATCATACGCCCTAAAGACTGCGGTAACAGTAGGACCGATTAGAGACCTTACATGGAAATTATGGACGAGCAGAAGAACATCCACACTAACCAAGAAGGATCCTGTAGCTCAGCACCCTAAAATCAATGAGAGGAAGCTGCTATTAAAGTGAGAGATTGAGAGCCTGCAATACAATGGGACCAGTACTGAGCTGCATGGATATAACGAGCTGACCTTGGCAGAAGAGAGCAGTGTTAAAGAAGGAAAAACCGCCTGCCATGATGGATGCATCCACTGAGCTGAGGATGAAGACACAAAGCCACACAAACTGGGATGCAACTGTGCATCAGGAGAGATGCTTGCAAACATCAACACAGCTCAACTCATTATCCCCACTACCAACATGTACACAGAAGAAGGCTGGAAGCCAGGAAGGAAGTTAGTTGGTAACATCGCCTATTCTTGCTGCCTTTTATTCTTCAGCACGTACATTATCTCACA